GGAGAGAGGGCGTAATCCTCATGAATCATGATACCTTCCTTTTTTTTCTTCTGTGCCTGTTTTCGATGCATTCCAAGGTGGCCTGCGAGAGGTACTGGCTGACATGGAGGCTACACCGAAAAGTAGTTCTACGGATATGCACAGCAGATGGTGGTTGAACTGACAGACAGACAGACAGGCAGGTCGTGATACTTGGGAAATCTCATTGACAGCCCGCCCCCACGGAGCACCAGAGGACCATAAGGCGGGAAGGAGATCGGATTGCTTTGTCTAACATTAGGCTATGCGATGCAAATGTGATGCTGTGATGCTACTCGTATGCAATGTTGGGTGGTACACGTTAGGTTACAGTAGCAATGGAATGTGAGTAAGAATTGCCCGATCTCCCTCGGTGTCGGCGTCGGAGGATACGAGGAGGTATGGCATGAGTACTGCCGCAAAAGCAAAGAAACCCCCCGACCGACAAGAGAAGTGTCCATGGATTTTCCATAGAGGGCCAGATCGGATGGCTTCATGTTCATCAATGCGGACCAGCGGTACTGTAGACGCACTGTGGACCCTCAGAATTGGATCCGTACAGACTACAGAGAATGGAAAGTAATCAACCCTTGACAAGAAACCTGGAACGCGACAAGGAAACGAATGGATGAAGGGATGAAGGGTCTAGAAATACAAAATGCGAAACATTAATCGATCAACCACAATTTTGTTAGAGATGATTGAAGATTATTGGACATTGAAGATCCAACATGGATCCAACACGATTGATTTGATTGATATTCTCGTTTGCTCACCCTCCGTCAAACAGACACCCAATATGAAATGTCCCAGTCACAATCACAATCACAGTCCCAGTCCCAGTCCCAGTCCATCAGTTCCAGTCCCCCCCAGTCCCAATCCCCCAGTCATGGGCTGACGCATCTGGATTAGATGCTTTTGCTTTTACCATCTACAGAGTAGGTACCGTAGTTGGAGAGATTGGTTTGATAGATTTCTAATCCACTGTACTACCCCGTAGATTTTCATGTTTCTAGAACAAATTTCTAAAGAATCTATTTAAATGATTCCTAATTTGGATACTGTGGGATTTCCCCAATAAATTGGCTGAGACTTGGTTTTGCTTTCTGGTTCCGGTATCCTCTTTTCTACTTTGGGATATTGTCTTGGAGACCGTGGGGTTCATTCAATGGCTCTTTGGTCGATGTGTGTTCAAGATTAGCTATAGTTAGTGACAACTTACGAGTAAGTCTTCTCTTCCATCTGGGTCCTCTTCCATCTAATCCATGAACTCTGTCCCATCCAGATCAAACAAATGACTCTACCATGCATTCCTGCCCTTGCAAACTAGATTCGTTGCACTTCCTTTTCCGTAAACGTCGTCCCTTATGCCTGATATCATCATCCCAAGGCTGCAGGTATACGGTACTTTCATTGCGAAGCTAATGGTACGGTACTTCGGACCCTTTCCACAGTGTGCATACTCCCTACTCCCTAGAACCCTGGCTCAGAATGAAGAGTCAGAGCAGGCGCCTTTTGTGGCTATAATTCGAACTGATGGTTACCAACAAACATGGGGCGAACCGTGGCAAATGGAGCTGAGTGAGAATAATGATAGGTTAAGAGACGCCCTCCACCCTTGTCACAGTCACTCTCCCCTTGGATGGGCGCCAGGCAGTTAGTCGCTAAGATGTCAAAAAGGTACCAAGGTTCATAATCTGGGACCTCTTTGAGTCGTTACAGTTAGTCAGGTTGCAAGGTTCCAGATATTCCCAGAGATTCACATTTGGGAACCTTTTTCATACGTTTCTCAACGCCGAGCCTGTAAGGTTTCTCCCAGCTTTGACTACCTCAGTCATACTTATGACGATGCTGAGTTATTGTCCTATCTGTGCCTGGAAATGGGAAAGACAGCCTGGATGGCCTCCTTGTAATCTTCTCCCTATCTGAACGTAGACACCGATCTACCATGGGGCTCTCAGCCACTATCCAAGCATGGCCCTATGCAGGTGTTTTGCATGTTGTTGCTATGTATAATAATATGATTGTGATATCTTCAGAAAAGACTTATATACATTAAGCTCAAGATACTTAAACCCCCAGACCCCTCTCCCCAATTCGTTTTTGTTTCAGCATTTCCAACTGCATCAAATATCAGATATAAACATCCTCCATCCCAACATACTTTCAAAGTTATTACTTTACATTTCAAACTCATCTCATATTCAATATCTTCGAACATACATAAAACACTCTCCAACCCTCAAAGACCAAGTACATCCACCAATATAATATCCATACCAACCAACTACCTCCACCAAAAATGTCTACCGAATCCTTCCCAATCACCAGTATGTGAAATTCCTTGTTCATGAGATCCTTCTTCGGCAGTTATGGCTTATAGGATTCTCCATTCCATCTATACATGTGGTCGTTGCTAATCGTTACTTTATAGACTCCATCATGGCATTCAGAAGCCACCCAAGAGACAACGATGATGATGACCACTAAATACCTCATTATCTCTCTTGCCCGGTGTATCTACAATGGACTGAATGTTAGTATATCCTCATTTTACTTTCTCTTTTCCTCCCAATCAATTTGGTACTTTGGACACTTTCCCAATGCAGACAATTGAGTACGAAAGTTTCGGATCGTCAAGACGAGGCTGGAACCTTGAGCAAGTGCAAAAAGGTCTCAGACTCAAAGCCCTGGTCTTTTATTAGATTCTTAGTGGCCCTGAGTAGATGAAAGCTGCAAGATGTTGCAAGATCGGAATATGCAGCCGAGGCGGTACACTGCGTCACAGTACTTCTTAGCACTTCTCTACGGAGGACTCTTTTCCTGTGACCAGATAAGCGACCCTTATCACATTCATCAGCCACTTCACGACAAGCAAGTCACAAATGCCCCTTTTCGCAATTGATTGTATAGTCGATTGCAATTGGATTCCATTGCACTGCATTGTCATCTGTTGCCCCGAGATGCCCTCGTTGCCCCAAAATGCCCTTCCCACTTCACTACTCTTGGAAAAGAATAAGTAAACAGGGCTCAAGGGGGCATACGGGGCATACGGGACATCAGGGACACAAGAGGATAAGTGTCAAAGAAGCAGAAACTCAAAAGCAACAAATATTAATTTTGAAGATCTGAAAAACAAATTAAACTAATTAAAGTCTTATCAATAGATAATCCCGAACTTCACCATGTAGTCAACAATCTCAAAGCCCCCCCTCAAATTTCGATCACGAGTACAACATCAAATTAAAGATCGTATTAGACATACACCAGGCATCATTACCTCACCGACCTCCCCGACCTCACCCCCACACCGAAACGAAACGCAACGATATCAGATTCGCAAAACCAAAAAATCCCTACTTCTAATAGCCATAGCCCATTTTCAGCCTTGCTCTCGCGACCGAAGTCTTCAATTCTTTCATTTTCCCCATCGATATCCCTCCCGTCAGGTTCCCCCTCAGCCCCTCCAGATGGATTGTCTATCTGCACCGCAGACGAACTCAGCACGTACCGAGTACCAAAAATCCACAGCACAATAAACTCCCTGGAGTGGCTCAGCACAACAACATCACATCATCCAACGTTCAGCCCGGACCCTGCGACTTAGGCTGCCCTCTCTCCATGCAACTCTCACCAGTCTTCTCACATCCTCGCTCTTCCCCGATGGAGAATGGAAAGAAGCGTGTCATCATTACTCACGATGCATCGCCGTTAAAACCTCCACCATGCCCAAGATCATGTACGACGGCATGTGAAGCATTTCGCGGATGCATTTAGAAATGACTCCTTCCTCGAAATAGACGAGCTGGATCCCGGGGGCTGACATTTTCTCTTGGACCCCGTCCTTTTCGTCCTCCAACACTATGGTCAGGATACGATGAATGTATCAACGTTATTTTCCTTTGGGCGTTTTTGATTGGGAACACTGGGACTTATTTACTTTAATCATCTTTTCTGGAGTCATTCGGCAGCGAGCGAGCGAATCGTTTTTTTAGAATAATTTCCTTACACCACACCCCCCCTTTTCCTTTGTTTGTTTGGGTACATCAGGAGCTTGGAAGGACGGATAAACGGTTATAGAATTGGTGGGACATGGATATGGATATGGAAAGCGACTCTTACAACGTTAGCTCTCGCGGGCGCCCTCAAAAACTGATTTTGGGTGGAGTATTTTCTCACTCTCTTATCTTACGACGACAAAGTCTGCAGGATGTGTTTCCTTTTCGCTATGTCTTATTAGTTTCCTTCCAAAAGAAGAGTCGCAAGATCAAATGGGAGGATTTATGTATTTATAATAGACATTCCTATCTTGTTATTGTAATGCCCTTTAGGTATTACTGTATATCAATCAAAATCATGTTAATCAAATCAAATCTTAATGAATGATCGAATTATGTTTTGGTTTTTGGCGATTGAGTTTTACTTTTACCTTTGCGCGGTGCTAAGAGCATAGAGCGCCTGCCCCTTCATTATCTCGCCAAATTTCGTGGGGATGGAAAGGCCTAATTTCTACTTGCATGACGACTGGAATATCTTCTAATGTGATGCATTAGACTGAATAACTTTCTTGCACACAATTTAATCACATGTTTCAACATATTCACTTTAGCACTGTTCACTTGGCACCATGCATTCCATTACCACGCACTCCATTACCATCCTCGTTTCTACCCCAACCTCCCATTCACCAAAAGAAGCTCAAGCTTCTTTCTCAAAAACATCAGACCGCAAACTACCCAGGCTCCCCTATACCTCCTACCTAGGTACCTAGGTACTTATCCAAGACAACAGAACTTCTCACCTTAGAATCACGAGTCGAAGGTCTTACAGCCTATGCAGGTATTACGTAGAGTTTATTTCCTTAACTGTTTCACCTTACTGTGCTGTTACACTTTTTTCTCTCGTAAGAATGAAATACCAAGTAGACAAGAGTTATATCTCGTGACATCCTATCAGGAAATGACGATATCGAAAAAGGTAAATCTTCATGTCATGGAGTAAATTAGGTATATTTGTATAATATGATAATAAAGGCCGTCTCGAGATATCAGCTATTTCTCTTTTTGTCCATCTCTTATCTCACCTCCTTCCTATAAGAAAGTAAAATGTACTACAACCTCCAGCTTTCATCAAAATACTCTCCTCTCATCCCTATCGTCGGCCACCGCCAGCAGTGACTGCGATTCGATGATTCATTTGTATTATCCTCTCTTCTGCTCACCTCATATATTCTTCAAAGATAATACAATATTAAGTACAAGTATGATCCCACCATGGTAACATAAAAATGCAAGGAAAATAGGTATCTAGCGTCAGTGCAAAAGTCAAAAAGTGTTCCCGTCCAGAACACCCAGCCAAACTCCTCAAGTCGTCCGTCTCAAAGATGTAGGTCCTTGAAACCCTTCCCCTTCCGTATTATGAACGTTTTGCAATTCCATATTATTTCCTCCATCTTGAAATTCCTTATTGATAGGCGCCGTTCGTTTTCCCCTTCGCTCGCCGAATCTTTGATCGCCTTCTTCGTATTTCCGTTTGAAATTTAAGTAGGTTGGAGGTCGGGGTCGACAAAGTACAGCAATCCAGTTACTAACAAAACTTCCCTGGGTAAATGGACGATGACGATCGTTCTTGATGAATTTGTGTGAATTGAGATATTCTCTTGTTGTCTCACCTCGACCCATAAGGAAGAAATGATACACCATCAGTGCGGCTGGGTATGGTGTAGCGAGGAGGCCATAAATGAACATTGCAAAGGGGACTCTCCAATAACTTAGCGAGGCACCGAATGAAATATCTTGTTGATACCCGTAAACAATAATCTGGGCTATACTCGCACCTAGGAGGTATGTCCCAAGAAGTGTACCCGAAGTCACAAATACAAAAAAGTAACGATAGTTTCGACGCCCGACACAATTATTTAACCAGACACAATGATGATCCTGTGTCTCGATACAATTATCACAAACTCGACAATGGTGCCCTCTAGGTGGTCGCCAAATGTTACAAGTCTTGCAGTATTTCGTAGGCACTTCCATTGCATTTGTGCTAGATTGGGCCGATTTGATCATAGTCCAATCATTTTGAGTTGGCGCCAGTCGAAGAGGATCTTCATCCTCTTCTGCTGGAGGCATTGGGTGTAAATTCCGAGGTAAAATCTAGGAACATTAGCTTTGATCAGATAAATTTTACAGGTGTTGAAAGCGCGCTTGCAAGTACTCACTCCAGGATCAGACACAGAAGCATGTATGAAAGAGGACATGCAAATGTAAAAAATGTAGGCGTACAAAACAGGCACCGCAGGAGAAACATAGTACCATAAAAACGGGGCTGAGAACACAAAAAAACAGGATTGAGGGAACTACAACAACAATCCGTGGCAATGTTGATGGGTCTGTGCCGAGTATTTTGCAGCCTACCTCCCCAGCAGAATACCGTGTTACCTGTGAAATATTGATGATTTTTACCAAGGTTTGGAGTTTGCATGTTCCTGTTTTGCGCATCCACGGGAGTAAATCCTGGTGAAGAAGCAGCAGACGAGAGCTTTTCTCGGCCTTGATTGCTACGACTCGGACTGGGGCTTCCAGCAGGTCCATCGTTTCTTGTAGGCATCAAAAAATTGGAATGAAATGACCGTGGAGATTTGGGAGTCGAAGTGCCGTTTTTGTAACCTTTATCAATGTTCAGACTCAGCCCTTTCGTATTCGCTGGGCCTTTCTGCAAGGGGCGGACACTATCTGCGAAACTTCCAGCTGCATGGCCATGCGTAGGACTTGCGTTTGCGGTACCTCTATCCACTGTTCCTAGCTCTGTCACTTCGGTACCTCGAGATGGTGGCAGAGGTAAGTCTGCATCTTCGGTAATGATTTGCTGAGGTATAGTAATATTCGAATGTACGCTCTGCCTCACACTACCTCCATCCAAAGAGCCATCTTCACCAAACCCTTGCTGTATAAGTGTAACTGGTCGAGATCCTCCTCGTTGCGCTTGGAGTCTCTGAGAACTCATCGGGCGGAAGAAAGCATGGGCACTTAGAGATGGTACGTGAGTCTTGCTTGTAGAGCTTGGAGGTCGTCCTGGTGTGCTCCCTCGTTGCGCCATTATTCCTGGGATATAGCCTCTTCGAGCTGGGGCAGCTTGTCCAAACGTTCCTCTGGAAGAAACAGCCGTGACTCCTGTGTCTGGCCTTGAGGTTCCATCTCCAGTCTGTATGCTGTGGCGCTGGCTTAATCGTTGACTTTGCGAAACTGGGCCGGAAAAGGTATCTGTATTATCTCCATCTTCGGAAGCTATATCGGTCATTCGCGATGATAAAACGCTCGCGCCATCTCCGATTTCTGAAGGCGCAAGGTGCGGGTTGGGAAAGGTGTGATTGTCGTTATCTGTGGAATGAAGGAATTTGGACGAAGAATTGTCCCGGGAAGTCATTTCGTATATCAAAATCGGTCCTCCAAAAGAATTCTTCTCTCTGTCATGTCAACACGAATAATGGTAGTCGGTCGCACAATAATAGAAGTGAAGGTCGTGTGCCGTGAGCCAGTTTGCAAGTTGGCGAGAAGCGCTTCAAGAATTAATTTTATTAAATATCTACTCTGGCTGTGTGTGAGGGTATTGAGGATTATAAAAAGGTGGATTCCGAGATAAAAGGACTGGCTCGAGACTGGGTAGGGAATAAAAAGGTAAAAGAGGTTAATTTTAAGGAGTGTGAGAATTGGATCTTAAGTTTCGATCTTAATTGTAGGGTTCAAGCATTACATACTGCAGTGTAAAGTAGGAAAGTGGTAAAGTGAGGCGTGAAGAAGAAAATAATTAAAGTTACAATTTACAAGGAGTGTAGAGTGCGGGAGTAGAATGCTCTCGAGTTGGTGTGAGTGTATGTACGTAGTAGGAGCGTAGGTAGACTGGTGGACAGTGGACAGGTTAATAGCGAAGTAACGCACGGGAGCAGAAGAAGAGGAGAAGGTTTGTAATACCGGCCGCCGTTGTGTTGTTTTTGGAAAGAGAGGGGTCCAAGCGTCGGGAGGGATTGAGAGTGAAGTCTGCTTTCCGCTTTGAAGCTTGAGAAGTGGGAAATGGCTGATATCAATTGGGAAATGAAGATTCATGGACAGTTGGGGAAAAGGGTGATGGTGATATGATGGATTAAGATTGAACATTTATACCTATGAAGCTATCCTCGTATAGCCAGTTCATTAGATCATTCTCTTTATATATAATTTTTCTGCAAGGAAAGAGAAGCATTCACTCCCGACAAGCTTCAATTGTACAAAAGTTGGCACATTGGGGACCTTCACCAATCAAACATTGCATATTCTCGACCATCGGCACGTGACGCTGGTGACATAATCCGTGAACATCTTCCGCCAAAACATCTTGGAAATCGCATCGGACCATTCCTAGGATAGATTATTGCTCACCCGCGATACAACATCACACCCACTACTTTCAAAAATGTCCGCACAAGCAGCAGCAAGAGTCGGCGCACAAGCAGCCAAGTCTGCAGCAAAATCTGCAGACAGCCATGTTCTTAACAAGGGCGCAAAGAGAGATCCCGAACTCTACGTGAGTGAAACTACACAACGCATCTGGCTTTACTGTAGTCCTATTTGTTCTCCGCTTTAGATGCTCCCCGAAGATTTGACTAATCCACATTTTGCGCAGGTTCTCTTCGGCGTCATGGCCGGTGCCTTTGGTTTGGCCGGCTACTACTTCGGTGAGATCATTTTCTTCGACCGGTACTGAGCATTCTAATTGACTTGTATTATCAGGTGGTAAACCCACTTCAGCTACCTCGGAAGCTAAAGTAAACGTCGCTCCTGGTACCATGCCATGGCAGACTGAGAGCTCCAAAGGCGATGCCGCCAGACAGGACTTCAAATACCAATACCACCCAGCCGGTGACCCAAGAAACCCACCAAAGGACGCACCTAGCGCATTGCACAGCGTTATTGTTCCCAATGTTAACTTGCCAAAGGTAGGTTTCTTCTCCCCATCTATCCAGCTCACAGAACACCAAGGATTATATACTCCTGTTCATATACGCGTGCCATTGCCGGAGTCTCCTAGGTTCTTATTTGCTATATATCTATACTAACATACTGTCTCCAGGAGCTACACGAGAAATACAACAAGTGGGGTAAGGACGGATATTAGATCAGAGGAACAAACGCAGATTGTGGTGGGGGTGGTTGCAAGACTAGACAGAGTTGTACATAAGCGGAAGAGGTTATTTGCTGCATTGAACTCTCATTGTTAGACTTGGGGACAACTTTCTGATTTGCGTCATCGCTTAGATGGAACTTTCGTGAAATGTCAAAATCTTTCCAAAGCAATTCGTTCGTAGACAACTAACACTTACATCCTATGTCCCATGCCTATCGACGATCAGTAAAATTCGTGGTTGCGAAGATTGTTACATCAAGCATTCACATCACTAGGGATACACCTGGGCATAATATATTAAGTTCAGCCTTACGAAGACGTTCCACCAAATGTTTTACAATAGCTTTGGCACAATGTGTAAGGATTTTCCAAAGTACTTCTTGATAGATATGTATGTACTGAAGCTAGTTGTTGTTTTTGTGAAAAAGCGCATTCATCCTATGGGAACTCACATGTTCGAAATTAGACAAATGGTCAGATTGGAAAGGCTGAGGCTGAAAATTTGATTGATTGATTGGTGAAGTTTATTAATAGAAAAGGCTACACTCGCGTCACTCTAAACCATACCTGGCCCTTTCCAAAAAGTTCCCCCTTACGACTCACTTCCCAATATTAACAGGCGACTTGTCCTCCAACCTCGATGCCGTACTTTTAGTCCTTTACCATTAATTTTTCTTTACACTCTTTCCGGCAATACAATCAATTCGAGCTTGCTGGTTTAATTCTTTGGGAATTTGGGCTTTTAGAAGCTCCTTGGATTTATAGAGCTTCTTGATTTCCATCTGAAGTGCACTATGGCACGTACTGGAAAATCCGTGCACGCAGATGTCGCAAAGGGCTCGAGGAGCCCTTCAAGGCAACCTGTTACCAAGAGATCGACTGATTATACCTCTGAAGGGGTTAAAGATCAAGATGTCTTCCTCCTCCCTGGCTCCGACTTTCAGGTCATGACCCTCCTGACACTATTGGGTGCTGTCGTCAGACTTTTCCGCATCTACCAACCAAGCAGTGTGGTGTTCGATGAAGTCCAGTAAGTTGTCATGCTGCAATTGGTTTTTGACCCTAGAACAAGCACTTACACTTATTATTATAGCTTTGGTGGTTTCGCCTCGAAATACATAAAGGGTAAATTCTTCATGGACGTACATCCTCCTTTGGCTAAACTATTGATTACACTTGCGGGATATTTGGCTGGATTTGATGGGGAATTTGACTTCAAAGATATCGGAAAGGATTATGTCGAACCAGGTGTACCATATGTTGCTATGCGATTATTACCAGCTATCTGCGGGATCCTCTTGGTTCCTACCATGTTCTTAACTCTCAAGGCCGCAGGTTGCAGAACCATGACATCTGCTATGGGAGCTGGATTCATTATATTTGGTGAGTCAAATTCTGAAGCATCTTGCTTTCAAGAGCTAGACTAACATCTTCAGAAAACGGATTACTTACTCAAGCACGTCTAATTCTCCTCGACTCTCCTCTCATGATCATGACAGCCATGACAGCGCTTGCATTCACATCTTTCACAAATCAACATGAACAAGGACCTACGAAAGCATTTGGACTGAGCTGGTGGTTTTGGTTGGTTATGACGGGTTTTGGTTTGGGAGCCACCGCCAGTGTCAAATGGGTTGGACTTTTCACAATTGCTTGGGTCGGTAGTCTTACTGTATTGCAACTGTGGGTTTTGCTTGGAGATGCAAAAACTGTCACACCGGTAAGAGCCCTTCATTCTAACGAATTTGTCAAATATTGACAAGTACAGCGCATTTTCGCCAAGCACTTTGTAGCACGAATCTTTTGTCTTATTATCATTCCCCTTACATTTTATATGGCCATGTTCGGTATCCACTTCTTATGTCTGGTTAACCCAGGAGACGGTGATGGATTCATGAGTTCCGAGTTTCAAGCAACTCTTAACTCGAAGTCCATGCAAGATGTTCCCGTAGATGTTGCTTTTGGAAGTCGAGTTAGCATCAGGCATCACAACACTCAAGGAGGATATCTACACTCTCACAATCTTATGTATCCAACTGGTAGCAAGCAACAGCAAATCACATTGTACCCTCACAAAGACGAGAACAATATCTGGCTCTTGGAGAACCAGACTCAACCACTTGATATCAATGGACAACCAATTAACGGATCATTGGCTTGGGATGCTTTACCTGAACCAAAGCTCATTCAAGACGGTGATGTCATCAAGCTATACCATCAACCTACACATCGTCGCCTCCATTCTCATGATGTACGACCGCCAGTTACCGAGGCAGATTGGCAAAACGAGGTGTCCGCTTATGGCTACGAAGGATTCGAAGGCGATGCTAACGATTTCTTCCGTGTCGAGATCATCAAGAAAATGTCCGACGGGGAATTGGCTAAGACTCGCTTACGAACAATTCAGACCAAGTTTAGACTTGTTCATATTATGACTGGCTGTGTTTTGTTCTCACACAAAGTCAAGCTTCCTGAGTGGGCGTCAGAGCAGCAAGAAGTCACATGCGCTAAGGGTGGAACTCTACCCAACAGTGTTTGGTATGTTGAGCAGAATGAACATCCTCAACTCGGAGCAGACGCGGAGAAAGTCAACTACAGGAATCCGGGTTTCTTTGGCAAATTCTGGGAGCTCAACAAAGTCATGTGGCGCACAAATGCTGGTTTGGTTGAATCCCATGCTTGGGACTCTCGTCCTGATTCTTGGCCTATTCTCAGACGTGGTATTAATTTCTGGGGCAAAGACAATCGTCAAATTTACCTCATTGGTAACCCTGTAATTTGGTGGAGCTCGACATTGGCTGTTGTTTTGTTCGTAGCCTTTAAAGGACTTGCCATTCTCCGTTGGCAAAGAGGGTTCAGAGATTACGATAACCCAGTTTTCAAGCGATTCGACTACGAAATTGGAACATCTGTTCTTGGGTGGGCTTTCCATTATTTCCCATTCTACCTGATGCAGCGTCAACTTTTCCTTCACCACTACTTCCCCGCACTATATTTCGCCATCATCGCGTTGTGTCAGACTTTTGACTTTATCACTGCCCGTGTTCCTGGTATTGGTTTGCGTGAACGTCCTTTCATTGGAAGGATTGGCGCGGTTATCTTCCTAACCCTTAGCATTGTTGTTTTTGCTCTCTACTCTCCATTGGCATACGGCAATCCATGGACACAATCAGCCTGCAAACAAGTCAAACTTTTCGAAAAGTGGGACTGGGACTGCAATACTTTCTTGAATGATGTAAGTTTAATTTCATTTTATTCACGACTATTTCTAGTTTGTGACATTGAGAACATGCGCTAATCCTTTTAGTACTCTGATTATGCAACTCAATCAATCAATGCGAATGTCGACGTCCACAAGACAGACTCGCCATTGATCCCAACCAATGCTGCTGAAATCCCAGCACAGGCTGGGGCTGGCGAGCAGAAACCTCTTGTAGAACAAGAGAACGTCTCAGGAGCACCAGAAGGGAAACCAGAGGGCTTGGTCTCTCCACCGCCAGCTGCCCCTGTCGCTAGTCATAGCATTGTTTCCCGCGAGGAGAAGGTTGAATATAGAGATCAAGACGGCAATATCCTTGATCCCGAGGCGGTAAAGTCTCTCGAAGGAAAAGTCAGCTTCAAGACCAGATATGAAACCAGAACTCGCATGGTGGATGCTCAAGGCAATGAGATCAACCCACCTGAGGATGACGCAGTTGGAGTCGCACCACCTCACCCAGACGTTGAAGGTTCTGACCCTCAAACTGTCGGCCAAGCAGAGCCGGGTGTCCAGGAAAAGCCAATGGCACAACATGACGTGCAAGCTGATGAGAGCAAGGAGCAAAGCATTGAGAAATCTGATGGCGGAGCTGCTAAACCTGCTAGTGAAGGGAACGAGGCGACTGCAGTTTAGGGTTTTCATTTCTTTTGTCATGTCTAGAAATCACAGGAGACAGCACGGAAAATATTCGGCCCAAATGGCCCTTGTAACATAGAACACATGTGACAGCAATTCTATTAATCTAAAATGAAAAAATTGTGCACTACCATCCAAAAGTTATTTGATCTCGTGATCTCGTTCATAAACAAGGTTCAGCCTGATTGGAATATGCTACTACCTAGTATCAAAAAATCTATGCATGCTGATATGTCAGGCCCATTTCTGCAAGAGCCAGATTGAAGGCACATTTCTCTGCACTGCGACTTTGCAAGCTGGCCAAGTTTTCGGATTTAACATCCTCAAAAAGAAGAAAAGTTACATCAAACCAGGGGCCAATACCACTTTCATAAATGGGGGGATACTACAGTTTTCGTACAGTGTATACCAATTGTCGTCCTCTTTAGCTTACCATTGTTTCCACCAATGGACCGAGGGAATATTGAAGGAGATGGTTACACAGCAAGCGACGAGTATCGTAATGAGTGAATTTCTATTTCTTTCCATAGTTTCACGAGTACACAGACACTTCTGTGAGGGAACACAGATGCCAAGTTCTGGCTGGCTGTAATGCTGTATTTATGATCTTTGGTATTTCTTCGGAGACTTTCAAGACCCAGCTGAACAGATGCCGGCATCCCCGTACCCCGACTCAATCTTGTGGCCTCCCCTGTACGTAATCACGAGATCACGCAGCAAAGTGGCTCGCAACTTTGATTATTTTCTCGGCAAAAGTACTTCGTATACGGAGTAGTACATACTCAGCTCGAGCTCAGGCACCTGGGCCTAGTAGGTACTTAGACGCACATGTTACAAATGACAATATGCACGATTACAACATAAATGCCGAGGGACTTTCTAGAATTTTATTTGACTCTTGAAGGCTTCTCTAGTCATACTCTAGCTACCTAGTCCTACTTCACATGTAAACTCAAAATGATCGGACTGCACCACATCCGTTACGTTTGAATCATTCAAGCGATGGAGCTAGCCGTGGAGTAATCGATCCGTACGGAACTGTACTGTCGCGTTACTCGCGTCGAATTAGAATCCGTCTGATCGGTTGCGGTTGTCCTCTAACTTCCAGGTTGTTACAGTGCCGACATCAAGCAGCCAGCCTACTTTGGAATCCATCCACATCAATTTTCTTCAACCATCGGATATGTATCCCAAAAAGTATAGGGAAGTATGTTGAGCTTCCTAATTGGGATTTTGAATTCGTACCCAGGTCACCTTACGCGCAAAAGTCCTCCGGACTCACGAGCTTTTCGCTTTTGCTAGAGCACTTTCACACACGTGTGATTCCTTACTGGCTACAAAGTCCACGTTCGCACAACGTCGTGATTGCCCCTGGTCAATTCGAAATTGACCATTCATATAGTCCAAATGTCACTGCGTCAAAAATGTGTGATGGTAACCTCGATTTATTGGGGCGTTTGCTCTCTAATCCACCAGCCTGCCGCCGATCCTATCTACACCGAGACTTATGGACCTGAAAGGTATTCTAGTGACCGTCTGGAAGACCCAAATTTGGATTTTTGTACATCCACTCATGAACAGACCAGATGTTGCACTAAACCCTCCCTTCCCTCAACTTTATTAAACCGGGCCATATATAGAGTATGTCTATCTATCATCAGAAGCTAGGTCGATCGTTCAGGTACAAATAAGCACGCCTCCCTTCTGAATATCAGCCAATCTTCGTGCAGTCGATCGATTGCTGATTGCTATTCACATCATATCCTATTTGGATTCGGTGATTCAAGGCGGCTTTTCTTTTCTCCTCTTCGTTCTTTATTGCACTCCGAGTTCACCTTTCTGAGTTCCAATATCTCAAGTTACTTTTTCAAAACCAACTTTGGATTTGGGATCTCAAAGCAACAATGGTTTGGTCAATATCCTCGCTACTTGGATTCTTGACGGGGAGTAGCGTAGTTAGCGCTTCTTACGCGCCCACCTCTGTGACATGCCCTTCAGGGGTATCACTTGTCAGACCTGCAAATGGTCTTTCAGACAATGAGGAATCCTACAGAGTATCGAGAAAAGCTATTGCGGATGTCGCTTTGAAAACGGTAAGGAATATCATTATCTTTTTGATTTATCTAAGCCTAGACCTGGTTCCACTTGCCATGTTTTAGGCGAGAGGAGATTACGAGTCCCTATTTCTTTCTCTTGGCTCGAAATTAAACTTTGACTGATTCTATGTATAGTGGCTGGAGAAAACAAACTCGGGATTTGGTACCGATGATTTGCCAACGGTATGTATATCTGTCTCAGGCTCATTTCTTCGGTAACTAACATTATTCAGATCGCGCTTACCCACAGTGGTGGGGGCTACCGATCTCTCCTGTCGGTCAGTAATTTTCATGAAAAGACATTCTTTAGAACTGCGGCGTTCCATGCGTCGTCGAAATATCTCCTAGGCCATCTTTTTCAAGCAGGTCCAATACTAACTATTCCAAAAGAGCGCCGGTGTAGTTCAAGGTCTTGATGCACGGGACAGTGATGTTTCTACTAGCGGTCTCTACCAAGCTATCACATACCAAGCAGGTCTTTCGGGTGGATCATGGTTCCTTTCATCTCTTGCCGGAAACAACTATCCAACAGTCTCGTGGTTGCGAGATAATCTCTGGGAAACGGCGTTTCAAGAATCACTCTTCGACCCTGATGGATTGCTATTCGTCGTAGCGTACGCCAAAATCGTTGGAGAACTTCTTGAAAAAGACGCAGCAGGCTTCCACACTACTCTCACTGATCCATGGGGGAGACTTTTGAGCTATCAATTGCTCGCAAATGATGGTGAATCAACCACTTTCTCATCGGTCGCCACACTTTCCAATTTTACTTCACATGCAGTGCCATTTCCAATCATTACCAGTAGGGGAGTGAAGACATGGCTAGGCCAATGCGAGCCCGGTCCTAATGCTACAATGTATGAGTTCTCTCCATATGAATTTGGTTCCTGGGATGCCGACGTGTCTGCTTTCACGCCAACTGAATATCTTGGCACTACTCTGAAAAATGGTGTGCCAACTGGGAAATGTACCACGAATTACGATAACTTGGGCTATATCCTAGGAACCTCAAGCAGTCTGTTCAACGAGGCGTGCCTCAGCGTTCCAGCACCCGTCAATGGTTCTTCAAATGCATTTGAAGGTATCTCTGCATTCCTTGACGGCGTGCACGAGGTAACCACCGAAGATTTATATGCTATCTATAAAAATCCCTTCTACGAATACGACTCATCCACGGGCGTGGTTAACTCTGCAAACAATGTTCCAGCCCAGGACACATTAAGCTTGGTCGATGGTGGAGAAGCCTTGCAAAATAACCCCATATTCCCATTCCTGCAGCCGGACAGAAACATATCTGCTATTATCGTGAATGATAACAGTGCAGACGATGCAACCAACTGGCCCAACGGATCCGAAATTCTTACCACGTATGTACAATCTCTGTCAGCCGGTCTCACGCGCATGCCAGTCATTCCTTCCGTCGAGACTTTTGTCGCCGAGGGCTACAATAAGCGAGCTACATTTTTTGGATGCGGCGATACAAGCAAAATAACAATCGTCTACCTCCCAAATGCACCATACACATTTGCTAGTAATGTCTCGACTGCCCAATTGATCTATCCAGCAGCCACTTCCTCGGGAATCATTGCAAATGGTGTGGAAGTTGCAACTCAGGGCAATGATGCCGAATGGCCTACTTGTTTAGGTTGTGCGTTTATGGAGAAGACTGGACAGACCCTTCCAAGCGCTTGTACAGCTTGTTTCACAAAGTATTGTTATTCCAGTTAAGATTGGTGATACCCTTGTTTAGATTGTGTTGATGCGAAAGCTGGACTTTGTTTATAGTAGGTATGTTGTTGGAGTAGCGTGAGAAAAGGGGAGGATGATTTATATTCGATATCTCTGTATTTGAAGCTATGTAGCTCGTTGTCGAGAGATATATTGATCTTTGTAATATCTATCATTGATTAGATACTTATTATGTCCATCTTCCGATCGCTCTGTTGAGTATCATCTTGCTATCTTCCGTCTCGATCTTCTTTCTTCTTTGGTTTTTCGCCATTGTATTTCCTCGACAGCAACGTGAACTGTAATCACAATTCGTCTGGAAAAAGGGAATGGTTTCGTGGTTCCACCTCACCTTTGTCCTTCACACGTCGATATCTTCATGTCAGCATGAACTCCACCTCAACAATGTTGTACGTACGAGCTGTCCCGTGATTTCAATCGCGAGTAACTTATAAATATAAGGCTGTAGATGGCATTTTCCAAAAAATGCAATCTAGCTTCTTCCATTCCCATTCGTTAAATAACCATGCAATCGATCGACGGCCACAGCGCCGCATGCTGCAACATCCCACCGGTCGTTTCAAAAGGATATACTCCTAAAGGTACCTACGAAACTATTGGCGGTCTGAAAACTTGTGAGTATCGCTCCGATCCAATAGGAATACACTACAGCTACTGATAATCCCCAAGATGTTTCTGGGCCGCCATCTGCGAAGAAAGCCATACTGGTCATCTACGATATCTTTGGATACTATCCACAAACCATTCAAGGAGCAGATATCCTGGCTCAAGGATCGGGGGAGGAATATCAAGTCTTCATGCCGGATTTCTTCGAAGGAGAACCAGCGAAGATTGAGTGGTGAGTGGGCTTTGGCGTTTGCCATTGTGGGAATAGAAATGTTAATGGGGGTTTTAGGTATCCGCCTGTGACTGATGAACAAATGAAATCACTCATGGATTGGTTTGCTCCGAGGAAACCAAATATCGCAATTGAGAGAATCCCGAGTATCTTGAGGAATATTGAAGAGAAATATGGAGAGAAAAGTTGGGGTGCTGTGGGGGTATGTTTCTTCTTTTGTTGTCATCTCAGTATTTTCCTGATACAATCAAGAACTGACTTGATGATATAGTACTGCTGGGGCGGGAAAGTCATCGCCATCACATCCGGTGCAAATAGTCCATGGAAGGTATCAGCTCAGCTGCATCCCGGTATGATGGATGTAGAAGACGCGGGGAAGATTGCGATTCCTCACGCGGTGTTAGCGTCGGAGGAGGAAAGGAAAGATATGGATGCTTATGAGAAAGAGTTGAAGGTGGAGAAATATGTTGAGACGTTTAAGGATCAGGTACATGGATTTTTGAGTGCGAGGGCGGATTTGGAGGATGAGGTGAAGAGGAGGGAATATGAGAGGGCTTATGGGGTTTTGGTGGAGTGGTTTGGGAAATTTTTGTGGTTGTCGTCTGGTGTACATTAGTCGAATGACAGAACAGACGACTTTATAATTTTGCTCGCCGAGACTCGGAACGTTATGTTCAAATACTGATTTTTAATAATTACCAGTGTCATATTTTCGAATGTTCAAGAAGTTTGACTTTAATATGTTTGTGTTTGAAATTGCTTTAAGAAATTATTTGTAAACATGCTTTTCGGTTCAACTCGATCGATTCTTACCTCTAGAAGAGAGTGGGCTCACCGGGAGTAATGTCAATGGAAAACGGCCGTGCACTAGCATCATTCCAAAATCCTCAGTCCCTCCATTGCGATATCAGTCCACTCCACTCCAAGAACGCAATAACGAGCAATTTGTTCAGCGGATACCTCTCGATATATCAAATCCACCCCAGAATCAACAAGATGAAACCCTCGACAATGTTTCTTCGCACAGCGCGCATGGTTTTCCCGGCTTTTGCACGAGTTAAAAGTACACAATTGGCTGGCGCAAGATGTTTTGCTTCGATGCAGATGGCGAAGAGACCAACATTGGCTTTGATGGAGAGGGTGAAGGAGAGTGCGAGTTTGGGCGCGAGTGGAAAGGGGGCAGACCAAGTCAGGGGCATGAAGGTTAGGAGTTCGGTGAAGAAGTTGTGTGAGGGGTGTAAGGTATGTTTTGTGTTTATTTCTGGGAGAAGGGGCTTGGGATTCGTGCGGGGATTGGGAGTACTGGAATTCAATACGACAGCGAAGAAATTTCTTGGGGGATGTTCTTCAAGATTTGCGACTGTGAGGGACCAGATGTGTGAATGCTAACATGGTAACACTACAGAGCGTCAGAAGAAAGGGTGGAAAATCAGGGAAAGGACATGTTTATATCATTTGTTCCTTGAATCCTAAGCACAAGCAGAGGCAAGGAAAATAGATGATTGAATCCATACGGGATGCGAAATACCAGGTTGGAGAGCAGAGAACGAGAAACTTCAATCGAATACGTTGCGAGATTGCGGGTTGCGCACAACCATAAGGATTTGAGCTTCTGACGAAAGAGCCATGAGGAGTGAGATGTACGATATGTGTATCACTCTGTATAAAGAGTACGCACTAGACACTGGGTATGGCGTTGGGGGAAATAGTGATATGTTGGTAGTGCAAAGAATCACCTCCGCACATACATGATCAGAAAAGAATACAAACAGATAAAATCCACAAGCCAGGCAAATGAATATACAGGGCCTTGTGAGGATTTATATGCTCTTTACGCCCACAATAGAAGTTTGCCCACGCCATCTAAAAACCTCGATGATTATTTTCCAGTGCCCCGTACTCCATAGCTACTCCATACCAATGCATGTATATATACAACCTTTTACCCACCATAAATTACTTTCCTACAATCCAGATAATACATCATATGCCAGTAATATACCTCTCCATCCCTTCCCACTGCGTTTTACCTGTACCAATTAAATACTTGATTTGGCTCTGCACCCCCATGCATTTGTTAGCTTTCATTGCCACTTCACATCGAACCGCACTCTTTCAATTTTCCCAATCCCGAGACTGACTCAACGCCTCTCCCAACCAAACAAGAAGAAACTAAACCCACCAGATCCGTCACTCCCCTATTCCTCTCAAAATCATCCCTCACAAACCTCCTCGTCTCGTCCCTAGACCCCGCATCGGGAATCCGTCGACAATCCCGGAGAATCCGTCTATAGAGTGAAAGAGCCTTGGATCTCTGGAGAAACTATCTCTTTATTAAACTCTCCTCTTTTTCATATGGCTGTGTAGAGAATAGGACATACATGATCCAGTGACACGGTAGGACCGAGTTTACTCGATGGCCGCCGGGGTTTGGCGGATGAATGGGAACGAATTGTGCGCGTGATGTTGCTGAGACGAATATAGGTTCGTAATGGGGGAGTGCGCATTTTGTGTTGATATACTAGGGTTTGGGTATATGGTGAGGAATTGGAGGGAATGGAGGGGTTGAGATATAAATTTGTGGAAGGAAAGGATGACCTCGATCATTAGATGAAGATGGATGGGTGGATGGTGGGGCGGGGCGGGATTTCGCGTTGCGGGGCAGATTGTCTAGAACTTCTAGACGCGTTTGTTGAATGGTGAACTCGAAATAAGAAACGAGTTTATCACTTGAAGAAATTCTGTTGCAATGGGGTTTTGATTCTTGATCATAGACATTATATCAAAGTTTTCAATTTACGGATGTTTAAAAAGAGCAAAAATGTCTACCCCGAATTCCATCACAATCGCGTGCGCGAAACCTCTCGAGGATTTTGAACGTGATTACATGCCTCCTCGGTATATCTTCTCCTTTCTTTATTATTTCGCCTATTAAGTTTTATATTTTTGACAGCTGGTAGATCTTCATATGCTCTTTATAATACGTCACCTAATCTGAAGATGAAGCGATGATGAAATCTTATAAACTAGGTTTGTATAAACCTAGTACGCTACGTCGGGAAGATTAACGGCTTGTTGGAGTTGGTTGAGAAGACGTCCGGGAAGCATTTATAGGGAGAGTAGAGGGGGGTGGAATGGGAGGAGGAAGAGGAAGGAAATGGAGTTGTGGGATTTGAGGTATTTGGTTGTGAGGGAGGCGGGTGCTGGGATTTGTGGGGGAGAGGGAGAGGGAGGGTGGGAGGATGATGAGGATGAGGATGAGGGTGGGAAATGGAGAGGGAGAGAGGATCATGGAAATTCGGAGGCGGTGAAGAAGAGGAGATAGTTGTGGAAGAATGTGGAGAGGAAGGAGAAGGAGAAGGCGAAGGCGAAGGGGAGATCAAGGGATTCATGAGTTTTATGCCTACGTTTGAGGATGGCATCAAAGTGCTTTATCTTTATGAGATACATCTAATGGACGAACTACGCGGGTTCGGCTCACTCTTTCTGATACTTACATCCTCTCTATCATGTTCCTATTCAGTAAGATACTAACACCCTCACAGCACAGGCCTAGGCACCCATCTAATGTCCCTCCTTACCAACATTGCGCGCGCCATTCCCGGTGTCGAAAAAACAATGTTAACATGTTACACGGCTAATGAAGCGGCGTTGAATTTCTATAGGAAGCTTGGATATGAGAAGGATGAGTATAGTCCGGAGCCGAAGAGGTTGAAGGGGGGGAAGGTGTTGGAGAGTGATTATGTTATTTTGAGTAAGAGGATTGAGAGGATAGGGGATGGGTAGAAGGTAAAGAGGTGGAGGCTGGGAAAGGTAAGAGGAAGAGGGGAGTTTGAGTGAGGAGGTTGGAAGCATTGCTAGGGAGGGGATGGGTGTGGATTGATGTTAGGGCGTTTGGGATTGTAGTCTGGGATGGGAATTGATACCAAGAAGAGAAGCGTGCTAGTGATTGCGAATTATCAAATTTACACTCGATATTGAGAGAAGCAGTAACAGAATCGGATGGGTATCATCGTGCTCCTTAATATGTGTTTCTATTTCAAGTTTCACAATCCGACCGAGTCACCCTTTTCACCATCCAAACTTCGACTGCCAGTCTCCAGCAGGACGAAAAATATGGGCCATCGAAAATAGGTACTTTTTCAACAGTCGATGTCAAATTAGACAATCATTATTTTGAGTCAAAGGTTAACAAATATGCTTACAAGAGTTAGATCTATCCATATGTATGTGCACCATATCATTCATTTTTTGGATTGAGATTGAAATTGATATTATTATAAGGTGTTAGATTATAAGTGTTTTCAATGCATGATTTCATTTGAATGATTTGGTATCCCAATTTTGCCGTCCTGCCAGAGCCCCTCTATCATCAATCGGTTTGTGCCATCGCCATTGGTTCCGTCCTCTGATAACCCTGTGAAAAAACATCACTACCCTGGTTTCTCATAATGACTTCCTTCTCCTGTTGCATCAGAACACAACAATGACAACACCAACTCAAAGCTATGTCCTTAATCCCTCCCTCTCCTGCTTTTCCAATCCCATATTCTGTTCGAATCTGGCGACGTTGAAGAATGGTGAATATGGCTCCTAGACCGCACCATTGAGCCCCCGCCCATATAAAAACACTATCAGAAGTCAGCTTGTATGAAACTAACCATTTGTCATATAACGACATACGTCATTATTAAATCGTGAATACCCCGTGAGATTGGGATCTTTGTTCATCCGATGTTGAGTCTTGCCATAAACAAAACATGGACAGAAGAACGCTTTGAGACCTGGAGATTCGAGAGCATTAGTTTGGTTGGAACAGTCAAAAGTGCGGGATTGGGGGTTAAGTACAAAGTGAGCTTGGAGAGAAGCAATTCCAGACACTATTTGACCATTCTGACTGCTCAACGACGTCAGGGCTAGAATAGCTCGATTGTGGCGGCTGTTGCTCCTGAGGCTGTTGGTCTTGCGGAATAGCAAGTGGTTGTTGTTCCATCGTCGGCTCTAGTTGTATAATTTTCTCTGCCATTGTGTTTGAAGGTATATGTGCTTAGAAGAAAGTGCTCGAGATCCCACGGGGAATTTGTTGCGAGGAGATATTGAACAAAAAATAAAGAAAATCAAATAAAGAAATCTATTCAAAAGTGTTTGCGTCGACGATGGTAGGAAATGCAGGTGACCTAAGTGCTGAAAACGAAATGAGATATATAATGCGATTTAGATCGACCATATGTGAACACACCAAAATCTCAACGTTCTCTTGGCAAGTTTAGAGTGTCTTAAAAAGTTGAGAATGTGGCGCCGCCTTTTTCGTTTGAGACTAAATGTTTCCTACGAAAACGTGAGACCTGGCCGTTCAGATACTGTCGCTTTTGGGTAGCATCTCAAAGGACGAGATATTCATGCGCAATACTATTGCGCCGAACGAATTAAGATCACTAAGATTGACACAGCACCAAATTTGACATCATCGACTGCCTTTCTTTCCTCGCGAACTCATAGCAATCTCGAACTTTCGAATTGTTGGACTGGAGATGCATGGAAATTGCCCTTTCTTTAGGGGTAGCCCAGGGTACTGTCAATAGCAGTCTCTTGTCAGTCTGCATGTGGTGCTACAGTAACTTTAACTTCAATATGCTTCTGTCTCGATATTGACATAACTAAAGCTATAGTGAGGAGGTGTAAAGAGCAAAACAGTGACGGTAGGCTCCATGTGGACAACGTAAACCACACCAGAATGGTTTGGTCAGAGATGTATTTGAATATCTCAAGTGACTTGGAACATCAAACGTATTCGAATCTCTAATCTAACTTGGAACATGAAAAGGATTCAATTGTTGGATTCGAATTGGAACATTGAACGCATTTGATTATCAAATTTGGATTAAAACATTGAATATAAGGTTTTGCTTAATTAGTGTGCAATTTGCTTCGTTCATCGCGCATGAGTAGTGAGGTAGGGTAGGCTGAGGTAGGTAGGGCGGTAGGCTCGTAGGGTACCCTACACCAACCTAAAGTCACGACAATTCTGCCATTGATTTGACCGCCTTGGGTTTTTACTTGACAGAACCCTTCACTTGTAATAAGACGCAGCTTCTGTTTAAAAAGGAAGGTATTACTCAATTGTACCACCCAATCCATGGAAATTCGATGCGGGCAGTAGCAGAGAGTTTCAAATTTGATTCATTGTCGAATCATACGTTGAACCTCATTCTGCAAGTACAGGGAATGCCTTCAAATCACCTGCTATGTTTGGCTTGGAATGATACGACGAGTATTGATTGTATGGAGATTGATCCATTCGAGGATCTTGGTACCATTCATTGAAACTTGTTAGATAAGATATAAGATATATTATGTTATACAAGATCCCCCATCAACTTCTGACTTCCAAAAGACACATCCCCTGAAAACTTATTCGTTGTCTTGGCAAGAACTTGGAATCCTTTCACGACCATTCTTTCAGATTATCAAGATGGGTGACATTGGACAAGATGCCAAAAATATTGTTATTATAGGTACTTTCAGCTGGTCTTTCTCAGGTCTCTTCCTAATATGAATTAGGTGGTGGTATCATTGGTGTTTCTACAGCTTACTGGCTAACTCAACACCGGCTGTATGATCCATCGATTCATATCATTACAATTCTAGAAGCTACAGAAATAGCCGGGGGATCTTCTGGGAAAGCTGGAGGTTAGTGGTACAGGATTTGAACTCCACGCACGAAAGTGCAATGGTCCCCGGGAACTTGGATCATATTCTGAACTATGTTCTAAATCCAACCAGGCTTATTAGCATCATGGGCAACACCCTCTTGTCTCGCCCCCCTTAGTTTCAAATTGCACATGGAGCTCGCTGAAATGTATAAGGGAAGTTTATGTTGGGGTTATCGTCGTGTTCACTGTGCTGATATGGCCTTTGATACTCGAAACAATACTTCGGCGAATGAAAGTATCGATCGCTTTGGAACATTGAAGTGGATTAATAGGTCTGGCATCAAAGAATTCTCCGAGATTGGCAAACCAGACGATACTGCTCAAGTTCATCCAAAGTCCCTCACCAACTATCTCTTGAACCTCGCACAGGCTAAAGGTGTGAAGGTCATCATAGCACCCGCTACATCGATTAATTATTCTTCGAACAGAGAAGCAGTCCATTCCGTCGAGTATAGTGAACATGGAACTCAGAGGCAAATTCATGCAACTGATACAATCATTGCAGCTGGTCCCTGGTCATCTAAATTGCTTCCTCGTATTCCAGTATATGGCGTTAGGAGCCATAGTATCTTGATGAAACCTTCAAAATCATTAAGTCCTTACGTTTTATTCCCAATTTTTGACCCGCCAATCTCGAAAGAATCCCCAGAGTATAAGGAGAATCACTCCATGCAATGGAATGACAAGGAAACCATCATAGACAACATAGAAATTTACCCTCGTCCCGGCCCGCCATTTGATCCCGAAGAGATTGTTTATATTTGTGGCCCTAGCGATTATCCACCACTACCAGAAAGTACAAACAAAGTCCTAGTGGACCCAAATATGATTGCGAGCATAAGATACGCTGCGTCGACAATTTCCCCAGAAATTGAAAATGGTGAATTCGTGCTGGGCCAAGCATGCTTCAGGCCCCAAATTCAAAAACATGCAGAGGGAGAAGCGGTAGGCCCAATCGTGGGGGGTGTTCCAGGTGTAACAGGACTATGGATAGCGACTGGACATGATGAGTGGGGAGTGCAAAATTCCCAAGGAACTGGAAAGATTCTTGCTGGAATGGTGATGAGAGATGAGCTCGAAGGTGTGGATGTAAAGGCTCTCGATCCTCGAAATTTCTTTGGAGAGTAAACGTAAGATATTGCTTAAATTTGGGTCCAAGTACGTGATTGAAGGATTCGGTTTGACATTTGAGAGTCTCCATAGCGCGGATTTGTTAGGGTGATGCATACTCATTTGGACCATTGGGTGGTATTTTACATTGAGGTGATGTCCACCACAAGTTTCAAGAATGTCACGTTTTACATACAAACAAAGTTCGAATATCAGAAAGCTGTACTTTATAACCAATCGTTTGATCCTCACAAGGTGCGGACAACGCCCTACTTTCTGTTAACTGCCAAAAGGAAAGAGGTGGCAAAGAGCGGTCTAGAGAACGAGTATTGACTTTATTAAAACTTTATTGTATACTATCTTGATGCAGGCTTCATCCAACCATCAATCGCAACCTCAAGCTCGGCCCTGTCAAGTTTTGAACAAAATTGCCGTGGTTTTGAATTGTCAAAATTTCTACACTCGGGCAGCGCAAACTCGGTATCAAAAACAGTCAACAACTTCACTCCGTACAATCGAGTTTCTTTCCGAATTGTCGTTCTCAACAAATAACCCGTAATTTTACGGCGCGTTGTTCCGTTCAATGTGGTGCATGCAAACGGCCGCCTTCTCCATATTTCTCTCGTTCCTGGTAGGCGCCCAGATGCCATACCGGCAAGGCTAGGCGCATGCGTTGGTTCCTGGACCGCATTTCTTACATACGTACTATGCACACATGTCGTGCTTGCATAAAGCACTTTCTCCCCGGAGATATTGTCCTATTTCATGCTGCCCCTTGACTCTTTTTGCCTCCTCATGTGCATACAAGAGAGCAGGTATGCAAAAAGTAAGTAAAGCAAGCGCAGCAGATGAAGTGTACATGTATGCGATGTTGTACTGCATATTATGAATGCAGATGGCGGTTGTCGCGGCTTATTGTGATTGTGCATACTTGTATATTGTGTGTTCAGCCTGTGACTGTTATTTCTGTTTTGTTGATTGAAATGCTACAATCCTAGCGCGTGGTACTTTGTTCACAGAATTACCTTTAAGAGTCGTTTGAATTCTGGGACATTTCATCAAAAGCTCAGAGAGATATTCAATGTGGAGAATTGGGAAAATGGCAGTATCGAAACCCTCCAGATCTTTTCCAATTATCGCTGTCGAAGCTATCGATCCACCCATCAAATCTCCAGAACCTCCATTAACAAGTACGAATGACCCGGAAAAAGGTATCACTGTTGTATCGCCAACACTCTCATGTAGAGCTCACTATCCCTCATTCAACCCTATCTTAACAATCATCTCTTCTTTCACCCTCACCCTTTCAACATGGGGTTTCTACAACAGCACCGGCATCCTCCTTTCACACCTATCTGTACACCTCCTGCCCAATACCCCACTCCCGATTCTCTCCCTCATTCCCGCTCTCAATATTCTCTTCACATTACTCCTGTTCTTCCCTCTTGGCCCCATATACGATACTTACGGCCCTCTTCCTCTGCTAATCCCAGGCTCTCTCATATACATTCTCTCCCTGCTCCTCCTCTCTATATGCTCTTCTCTCTTTCACTTTCTCCTGGTATATGGGGTTCTGAGTGCCATAGGCATGGCGCTCCTCTGCACGGTAGCGAACGCGATGTTAAACACCTTTGAAGGAACAGGCTACAGAGGACTAGCGACAGGCATTGCGTTAGTGGGGAATCCGACCGGTGGAATCATCTTTACGTTTGTATTTCAAGCTGTTCTGGAAAGCTTAGACTGGGGCGATGCTATGAGAATCGTGGCTGGGAGTGTGGGAGTGCTGGTTGCAGTGGGATTTTTGGCTTTCTTGCCTTGTGGGGGGTTGCGAGAAAGGAGGATTCGGAATGAGTACGGACACCGGGGGCAGGATAATGATTGTGATGTCAGTACGGCTTCGACCAATACTAGAAATCAAGCTCCGTGGTGGAAGTTCTGGCACGAGAAAAAGGTTGAGGGAGATTGGAGTCTATTACGCGATAGAAGGTTTCTCTGGTGTATGGCAGGTATCGCGCGTAAGTGCTCACCTTCATTTGCATCTGCCCTAATGTCTTTTTCCTATACTAACAATGCCTTGTTCAAGTCTTCGAATTCGTACTCGTAGGGGCCATAGGTCTCCTCCCCACATACGCATTGCAACAGGGATTTTCAACCTCCGTTTCTTTCAACGTTGTCGCGATTGTAAACGCGTTAGTCTCACGTCTTCACTTCCCCTAATCACCTCCACATTCCATTCCCGCAAAAGTGAAAAATACCCACAACTGACCCCAAGACCCAGCGGCTCCATCCTCGGACGTCTCCTCTCCGGCCCGCTCTCCGACCACCTCGGCCCCTACAATACCGTCCTCCTCTGTCTAATCTTCATTTCGCTCCTCGCAAACTTCGCTTTCTTCCTTCCTACTTCTCTTCTCCCCACTAGCGCCTCCTCCACATCCCTCATCCTCTTCTACCTCTACGCATCTCTCTCCGGCCTCGGTTCCGGCGCCGTCATGAGCGCAGCCCCTCTTTGTATAGCCGCGCTGTGTCCGTCGCACGTGTATGCGAGGTGGTGGGGCGCCAGCCAGGTTGGAGTCGCCATTGCGTATGTTTTCCCCTTCCCCTCCCTTTCGTAACTTGCTATCGCTTCGATATCTCTCCCATCTAAATTCACGAGAAGTTAACACCCTCAAAATAGATGTTTCCTGAGTGTCCCCCTCGCTTCCATTATACTCTCCCGAGTGGCTTCTTCCCTGTTCATTTCCTTTTTCGGGTTCGTCCTTTTCTTGTCCGGTTTAGCTTTTGCGCTTGCAAGATGGGAGGTATTGAGGCGTGAGTGGATGTGGATAATCAGGGTTTGATTGACGTGAAGAAAGCAAAGGAGAGAAATAAATAAGGGAAGCGAGGATATAATGATACATCTTAAACATATAATTTTTTAACATATCGGGGTAAGCGAAGGAGAGTGGAGACAATCATACATCGAACTCCCATGGTAACAGAAGGGCTTCACAGCCCGCATAGTTGTATTATCTCCCCTAATTTAGTCGCCTAATTTGGTCACCTGCCCATCATCTTTCAACCTAGAATACATTTAACACCAGCTATTCATAATGATTTCCTCAACCTTCAAATATCATACCTCAGTGCATTAAATCAATATAAGTTAGACCGTGAATGAAAAGATATCTTTTACCCAAGATATAAGTGAATGGGCTTTCCTATGCCTTGATACGCCATCCCATCCAGCCCCCTGTTTGCCTCCCATCATTTTGTAAAAATGTCTTTTGAGTATCTCCATCTTTCCCCACCGTTTTCCAGTGTCCTAATCCATCCATGTTTCCGTTTCATCCCGTATTATTGCGCCCTCCCATTATAGTAATACAAACAAATGAAAATCTCTTGCCTATTCTAAAGACACATTCAAGTAGAACTGACTGATTTAATGAAAGATTGATATTTTTCCTCTTCCGTGAGAATTTTTCTTGGTAGCTTTGCTACTGGTGGCGGTGGTGGTCCATTTGTAGTTTGCCAGAGTGGTAAATTAGAGTTGTTGGCGTCCGATTCTGGCTGATCTGAAGAATTTGTAGGTGTACCTTCCTTCTCGGGTTCAGTGTCCTTAGGCAGACGCATGGCCAATAGAACATATTCGGCTCTTGTTGTGTTATCCATGATATCCTCCATATATCTACGGACTTCGTCCGGGGAAGCAACGACCTTTTGTAACGAGTCGAGTTGTTTGCCTTGGTGGGTATAGAGACGAATGGTAACTGGCTGGTAATAATCGAGCTCCGGGTCGTACGAAGTGGAATCGCTGCTACTACCTTTACGGACAATGAGGAATGAGGCTATGACTTGGCCACCGGGAAGATAGTCAAGGATGCTGTATTTCGGGAAAAGGTAGCGATCACCGTTACCTCCATTGAACTCGAACACAACACCAGAAATATCTGGCTTAGGTGGAGCTACAGGACCTTTCGATCGAAGAGCCTGAGGTTGCTGAGGTGGTGCGCTAATAGGAGCAGGTGCCGGTGGTGGAACAGGTTTAGCGACTGGTGCATTTGGTGGTCCATCAAGTTGAGTTGTAGACGGCGGCGGTGGTGGTGGTTGCGAGTTGGCATTCATGGGTGGTTGGGCGGCGGATTGAGCAGCAGACTTTTGGCGTGCCTTTGATATCGCATTCAACTCATCAATGTGATTTTGAAACTGTCTCAGTTCAGAAGATGTTGCTTCACCATTTGCCACGATTCTCATTAAGCCCTTCAACTGCTGATCGGTCGCAGCTCTCTCTGCTAACATTTGAATAACAGGATCTGTACTCTTGTTTGGCTGGGCTGGCTGGGCTATGCTAATCGGTTGAGATAAATTGGTATTCGGGTTGTTTGGACCCTGTGCAGGGGGTTGTCCATTCATTGGAGCGCTACTCATCGGCGGTGCTTGCGCAGGAGGAAGAGGATTCATAATCATTGGGGCGGTCGGCGCAGGGTGGTTTGGAGGCATAGTTTGTACTGTTGGTGGTGTTGTCTGGATTGGTTTTTGTTGTACCGGACTTGGTGCTTGTGTGGGAGCAAGAGGTGGCATAACTCCATTCGGAGGGCCATATTGAATGATTGGGCGATACATTTGTTGTTGCTGAGTAGATTGAAAGGCAGACTTTGGTTCCTTAATAGCATACATAGTAGCATCGAATACATGAGGTTCGATGGTGATTTGGCATGTTCCAAGCTTCGTCATCGTATCCTTTCCCGGATTGTTCAGAGGTTCTGCAGGAACACCCTTCTTCTTTGTCGGTTTCGTCCAATACTTCTCAAATATACCTTCGCTGACCCATTTCTGTCGTGATCTTTGTAGTGATTCCGCAAGAACTCCGCTGTAAAAATGTTGGTACCAGCTTCAATAAACTGGGCATCAAGTAGAAAACTTACCTTTCGGAAATTGTTTGAAAATCTTTAGAAGAAAGATTGTCGGATTGAGGCTCATCGACAGTAGGCAAAGGCATACCGGCAACAATGCTCTTTGGAAGAGTTTCTTCAATGGGTGGT